TTAAAAAACTGTATATCAATTCTGTAAAAAGGTGTTAATTTTGACTAATAAAGTTTCTATGTTTGGCAATATAAAATATATATATATATATATATATATATATATATATATTAAGTTATAAAATTTATATTTTGTTTATTTAAATAAAGATTATAAATTTAGTTTTTTCTAAATTAATTTGAAAATATCTAATAAATCGTATAATTATTGTGTTTAAATATATTTTCTATTATTTATATTTTTATTTAATTTATTTTGAATTAATTCAAAATATTCTAAAATATTTTGAATAGTATTTGATAAATTTGAATTGGTTAGTTTTTTTTACTCATTAGTAGCTATCTTTTAGTTTATAAATATTTTGCTATTTTGATACATTTATATTTATTTCAAATTGTTTAAATTAATTCAAAATATTGCACAATATATTATGTAATATATTTTGTAATATTATATTATATTTTGTATAATATTTTGTAATTTATTGTACAATATTCTGTCTAAACTATAATTATTGTGCAATATTTTGGGTGTAATAACTTATATAAGACTACATTAAATTATTTTACTGATATACTTAATGTTTGCTATCCAGATACTATCTAAATATATTTACTTAGATATATTTACTCAAATTTTTTACTGAAAGCATCTTAATACATTATCTCTATATATCAGTATATAATATATAGATAAATTTTATTGGCTTTTAATTTAGCTAATGGTATCTACCCTGTATATTAATAATCTAATAGTATCTAACGGTATCTACTAGTAAATACCGATAGTAGATATCTACTAGTAGATACTGATAGTAGATATTTACTAGTAGCTACTAACTCATATCACTAATCAGAATATATGATCATGTAAATTATATAATAATTGTATTTTATAATTATAAATACAATATCAGAAATCTAATAACTCTATCTAACATTAGCATGCTGGCCTACACTTATTTTATCTATTCTATATATATAACTAACTAACTACTATTTAAATAAAGACTGTAGAACTAAATAAATATATAAATATATACTGAATAATTAAATAAATAAACAAGTAAATAAACAAATATAAAAATAAAATAAAATAAAAGTTAATCTTATTTGGCTGTTTAATTATAGAGTATTAAATAATTTTGGCACAATATAATAATTTTTAAAAATTAAATCTTTGTTTCAAAACTCAAAGAGGTTTAATTAAAAATTCAAATATGGGCTAGATGCTAAAAAAAACTAAAAATAACAATTTTTTCAAAATTGATTTTTTTTTTTTATATAAATCAATTTAGAATAAAGTTAGAATCTTTTTTCACTTAAGACACAAAGATAGTTGTATTAATAAAATTTTGCAGTATAGCTATTTAAAATTTGTATTTTCTTATAATCTACTGTATTATAAAACAAAAATTGATTTTCCGAAGATCTTTTATTTTGTCATTTTCGGTCCTTTTTCCACACCTAGCCCATATTATTAACAATATGGTTAAGAATGCATTGTAGCGGTTGTATAAAAATTTTATTTACAGTATTACGTATTTTTTTATTATTTATTTTTATTATTTTTTTGGCTTACAAAGATCTAGATGCCAAAAATGACAAAATTACTATATGCAGATTGTTGTAATAATCAAATTATTACACAAAGATCGATTTCGTACTTACGTACGTATGTACAGTACGTATAAAAAAAAATTTTGGTTAACTGTTAATATTAAGTGTAAATTAGGTTAGATCCTGTGATTATTTAAATTCCGGAATTCCGATGAATTTTTTATCAGGAAAGTGTACTAATCAAAAAAGGCTCTATTTTATTTTTATTTATCGATTGACTATTGTAGAGAGACTATTTTGGGTGGTTTTTTTTTAAAAATAATAATAGTTTTAAAAGACATGACAGACATGTAAGTAATACATAATATTCGTTTTACTATACCTTTCTTTCCTTTCCTTTAATATTTTTTTGAAAATTTTAATTGCATATGCATGAAATATTACATAACATCTACAAAATTCGTTTATTAGAGGTCGCAATTTTTGTTGCATGTGGATTAAAATTGTTATTGGAGATTCTACGTATTGTTATTTTAATATAAAAGTAACCATGTTTAGTAATCCTATGACATAAGTGACTATTAACACGTGCTGTAGATGGCGAGGGTTGGGGCGAGTCGGGGACAGGGTCAAAGGAGGTTACAGGAAAGATTTTTCCTTAATGGAACAGTCGGTAAAGTTGAATCGATAAAATGGAATAATTTCCCTATTAATTTTTATGGTATCAATTAAAGATTTTAAAGAATTCGAGAATTTAAAATGTAAGAATGCCGGATGAAAACCTATTGTCTACTTTATATATGAACAGGTTTGGAATCTGGAATTTAACAATAGCTACGGCTAGTTGATCAAATTCTTTATTATACATTGAAGTAAATTATATTGTCATTATGAAACTTTTTAACTAACAATACAACCGACAACAAAATCGAGATTATAGGTGAAACCTAATAACGAAGAAAATTGTAGATGATAAAATCTAGTATGTATTGAGATCGAATGCTTACTAGAGTACTTTCTTCCACGAAATAGATATTTTATTGCACGAAATAAGAATGTTTATTAATGTTGACAGTGTAAAAAGTTCCCACACTACACAGAGTTCGTCTGTAGATCATGAAACAAGCATAATCTTTGTGACAGATAATTAGCGTACAATTACGTAGAAAAATATGTATGTACATACATACGGGAATTACGAGAATTAAGAGCATACATATCGATATACTGTATATATTATATGTATATTAAATAACGATAAATTAGAACAAAGCCATTTATAAGTAAGCTTCTATGACAATGATGAATAAATGAGAACAAACCATTGAAAGCTAAAATACGTACTTTTACGACATTCAAGGAAATTCATTTATTACATAAGGATCTATCCTATTTTATTTTCATGGCCAACTTAAATCTTTAGATCGCTAAATAAGATTAAATACTTGAAAAATAATATAATCACGTGAATTTATAAGTTCTGGACAATCATTAACTGAATAATAGTTGCGCGGGAAGAAATAGCGAAAATGTTTCACATATCTCTGTGTATATGTACATATATGTACATATATGTACGTACGTACGTACAGTACATAACGATAGGCAAATTCATAGCGGCTTTAACGTGATTCCTAGTATACGGCCGATTTAATTTCACGCTAAAATTTCTACGTATCATATTATATGTGCAGTACGTATGTACGTACGTACAGTACATACATATCAGATATCAAATACGACGAATATTACAATTTTGTCACCTGTGTGCCGTTTATATATTAACAAAACTCTATCTGTTATTCGATTTTGTAGTTGAGGGATCTAGAGAGTCATTAAATACCGTTATTATTTACCCTATTGTAACAACTCATAAAATAAAAAAATATTCATTGTTTTCCTGGAATTCGGCTTATTGTTATTTATTATAGATAAGAATCGTTGAAATGTGATTGTTTCACCACATTTAATTTCCAGCATTGTCTAGCATATTTACAAAAATAAGGCTAATAGTACACCTATTATATGTCGATAATATCAATTAGTTGATCAATTATACAAACTTTAAATAGTTTACAATATATTATAATGGCAGCATTAGCTCATTACTTTGATTACACCTCAATTTGGTAGATTTCTTGTCGATTATTCCCTAATTTCGACAAGAGGTAAAAATATATTGTGAGTAACATCCTACATATTATTCGGGGAATCGGCTATATTATGCATTTTCGCATTTACCAAATTATATATATATGCAACAGTTTTTGATATCTCCCCTGAACTTTTTAATAAATATTTTTTTTAAAAAAATTTGATTTCTTTTCTGGTTACATCTAAATCTCTTTTTTACAAACTACAACTATACATAATATAACAAAACATGGGTAATTCAAATTCATCTCGTAATTCATCTCGTAAATCATCTCGCAATAAAATTTCAAAGAAAAAATCCTTACAAAAGTTAAACAACTCTGAATCTACAAAACAACAACAAACATATGATCCATCCTCAAGTTTTCAAATACCAAAGAATGAACAAGATATTGACAGAATGCAACTTGAACATTTTTTATTCCAACACATCTGGCAATGTTGTTTTTCTTCTCCAATCGAACAAATACTTAAAGCTGGTAATGCAAAAGTATTAGATGTTGGGTATGTTGAATTTTTTTTCTCTTTATTTTTTTTCCTCTCTAGCTTAATATATGCTAATATTAAAGTTCTTTCTTATAGTTGCGGTCCTGGGGCTTGGCTCTTAGGTACAAGCCTAAAGTATCCATTAACTCAATTCTATGGAATAGATATCGCACCAGTATTTCCTAAAGAGATAAAACCAGAGAATTTAGAATTTATTCAATCTGATATCGCTAATGGTATTAGATTTGATGATAATACTTTCGATTTTGTACGAATGAATCTTTTATCAACATCTCTTCAGGAAGACCAATGGGCTTGTGTTATAGAAGAGTTGGTACGAGTATTAAAACCTGGTGGTTATATTGAAATAATGGAACCTGAATTCCAATTTTATAATATCGGTCCTTATTTTTCAAAGTTGAATTCAAATTGTAAGTACTATTTTATTATTATATATATCTGATATATATATATATATATGCATTTAAAGTAATGTAAATAATGTCTAATTAAAAAAATTTTTTATAATTCTTAATAGTGGTAGATTTTATATCATCAACTGGTGCCAATATTCACATAACGCAAAAAATCGAATCAATTCTCAACATGCCGAATTTCCAAACCTCATCTCAAACAGATGTAAATCTATGTAACACATTGTCAAAATTAACAGATATCCATACAGATACACGAACAATTCCAATAGGTGGTGTACATGGTGGTAAAATTGGTAAAATATATGAAGAACTTTTAGGAATGTACTTTGAGAACACCGTTCTTGATATATTACCTTGGTACATGGGAACTAGTCGTGAAAATTATTTGGAATTGTGGAAACTGTGTCAAGAGGAATTTAAAAATTATGCAAGTTTTACAAATTTAGTTAAGTTTTGGGGAAAGAAGGTTGCTGAATGAATTTACTATGCACATTTGAAAAAAAATTAAGACATTATTTTTTTCTCATTTCAATGAGAATTACCTTTTTGTATATACCTATATGAACATTCATTTTAAACATACCACAGAAAGGATAGTTTAAAGTGTTGTAGAAAATTTTCTTTTTTTATTATTATGATTATTATGTAACTTTTTCGCAAATTGTATAGTTTGTCTTTTAAAGGCGATGTAGTTTGTAATTTCTGTGATACATTTCGTATCCCTTTATGATACTTTTTTATTTTAAAAAAGATAGGAATAATTAATTGTCTTAGAAGGGAAAGTTTTGGTTCTTGGAGAATTAAATTTCCTTTAACAAGATAATTTACATTCTTTTCATTGACTCTCGTTTTGTTAAACCGCTGCCTGTATGAGATGTAATTTATTACATGTGCATTACATATATATCAGATATACAGTATATACATATATATATATATATATATATATATACACGTATATATCATATATATAACAAAATATTATATAAAAAAAAACAAAACAAAACATGGAAATAAATATAGATTATTTATTTTCCTTTTTACAAAATCAAGATAATAATATTGTTTATTGTTATAATGATGTTTTTTTGTGAAAATATAAACTGGTTCGTTTAGAGTTTTTACTCGCTCGTACGTATCTTTTTCGTGATTGGTTTTTTCCTGATTGGTAAATTTATTAGTTACATTCATTACATAAATTGAAGTCACCTGATAAAAATTAGCCTAATAATTTCGGCCGATTCTATTTTTATAATATATATATATATAATATCCGGTGACTAATGCAAATATTACAAGACTTTTAGTGCGGATATTGAAAAGCATCCTCACTGGCAAGTAATTAAAAAAAAATTTAGAAGGCTTCAATTCGAAAAATTACTTAACACTTAGGTGTTAGTAGATCTTCAATAAGTCAGGTTATCAAGTGCTTTCAAAGATATGGATACATCATCACTTTTAGGAAAACAACGTTTACTAAACTTGAATGATATAAACTTTAATGAAAAAAATATAATTGGTATTAATGTGAGTTACAATTAGAGATGGAACATTGGTTAGACGTAAAATTAGTCTTGTGTCAATTTGAAAGGCTGTAAATCAACTTGAAATAAAAAAAGTAATATATATATATACTATCTTCTTTAACACTTGCGCCAATTCGTGTAATATGTTTAGTATACAAATCTAATCTATATCCTGAGATTTTTTAATATTTCCTGCTAAGGTTTATTAGTTGACAAGATCAATCTTTCTATAAATTTCGTGCAAACTAAACACCAAACATGTTAAACAAGCATTCAAGCGAAACTTTGATAATATTGAGTATGTTAAACGTTCTAACGATCTGTAGAACAAGTGTTACATGTGATACAAAAGCTTTTATATATCGAACATGCCGAAATTACAGAATCGGCCGAAAAATAATTCAGCTAATTTTTATCAGATGTTATAGAATTATGATAACAACTGTAAAGCTCGGTCCCAAATCTGACTTGGGGACCTTGACTCGCGTCTGCACGTGCATCTAGTATATTTAGGTACAGTAAAACTTTTAGTGTCGATTTCTCGATAACTACTAAACCAAATTTAATGAATTTTTTTTTATTTTAATTCTACGAAACTATTCACTGAATTTGGTCAAGTGGTCGCTGAGAAATCATCGAATTTATTAATAGGATCGGTTTTGTTTCCTTTTTAGGTAGGGTTTGAGGCACGGAGGGCACGGGCACGGGCATGCATGCGCCACTTGACCATTAGGCATAGTCATGATATATATATATCGTATCTGGTTGGCCAGAAGTATCGGAAATCGAAAATCGATTAATCGATTAATTACAAATAATTGATTAATTTTATTAGACAACTAATCGATTGTCAATGATTATAGCGCTTTGTGACCCCATGATTTTTGTGATGATGATCGATGAAAATCTAAATTGTTTATTAATTCATATTTATTTGAAATCGGTAATATTCTTAAAATCTACAGAGTCTCCGATTCTTACACGACATTGTGATTTGCAGAGGGTACATCTTTTTACAAAGCGCAATAATCGATTAACTGATTAATCGACTAGTTAGTTAATCGATTTTGATTAATCGACTAGTTGTTTATATGAGTGCCGCCAAGGGAAAACCTGTCATCGGATTTTTAGTGTATAATTATCTATTACAAGTCTATTACAAGTCATGGATAAACTTGATTATTTCTCTGGATAGCAGAACTTAAATGTGTGACAGGTTACGTTAATTGATCAACATCGGCCTATATTAAACAGTTTTTAAATGTTATGGTTAGATTGAAAGAGCGTTAGAAAGAAGAGTTAGGTAAATTTATACCAAAATTATGAGTAAAATCTTTTTTCTTAGAGCACCAAGAGTGGTTTCATAGGCAAAATTTTGGAATAAAAAAAAAAAATTTTCTTGATTTTGTCGATCAACCTGTCACACATTCTAGATGTGCCTCTGGATAAATGATTTCATGTGATCCATAGGATTGCATGATAATCGTTTCCCAGAAAAATAATTCGAGTATCTGGCTGTATTTTTAATATACCAGCTCTGGGTCCCAAAGGGACCCAGAAGATGGAATATTAAATTTTACTGCCAGATACAGTACAAAAGTTATTGGTGCTTTGTTGGCATTTAATAACAGTATTATATGACGATAGGACATACAAAATAACTTGAGTTTATTTTACAATTGTTTTTAATATAAAAAATTAAGTGTTTGGCAGTCGTAGACTGCCGAATAACTTGAGCTATTGATTTTTTATATTAAAAACAACTGCAAAATAACTCTATATTATACTAAAATTTAATCAAATTATTAGATCACAATATTGTTATACTGTTTATCATTATGATAGAATTTTCATAGATAGCTAACTGTATACAAAATATAATTGAAAGTCCGATAACAGGTTTGTATCATACTTTAATCTCATAATTAATGGCTACACAATTATATCTTTTGATATACAAACCAATCGACTAGTCGATTAATTGATTAGTGGTTATAATCGATTTTTAAAAAAATTTTTGGTCAACTAATCAATTTCATTTTTTAGTCTGATTTGTAACACTATTCAGAAGTGAGATACCAAAGATAATAAAGAAATTTTTTGGTTTATATAAAAAAAGAGCATATCTATGGGCATGAGGAGCACACTTCAATTCAGGGTATGCCTAATTTTTTACCCATGTCTCAGGTTCGATCACAAGAGTTTAACCAATCAAAATTATAAAATTTTGTTTACAAGGATCAGCAAAAAAAGTAAAAAATGTGAGAAACAAATGTCTAAACCTATCTTTGTACATTAAGAAAAAATATCTAGCAGACTATAACCCTGACTCTAATATTAATGTAATTTTGTAATTGAACTTCTCTTTTTAGGAGTTTGTATATGCATAATGCATAATCAGGTGTAACCTAGCTTATAAATAAAAATAACACGTTGCTTTAGTTTTTGTATTTAATAATAATACAGCGATATATATAAGCTTTAATTATTTACTAAAGAATTAACTATAGAAAGAAAGGTCAAACTAAAAAACGTAGAACGTCCAATAGTATATATTTAGCGATAAACAGGTTTAATAAGAAATTTTTGAAATGCTTGTTTGACCTTTTTTGTATTCCTGAAACTACTAGTTTGTTCAACACTTACAGTATTTACACGAAATAACACCCACCTGCATGTCATTTTGAGTATATGCGTATTATTTAGAGTATGTGCATGGGTATTATCTTGAGATAATAATAGAATTTTATCTAAATGCAAGCTATACCATAGGTTTCCGAAAATAAGCTACCCTTTTTTGGCCAAAAAGTTACACAAAAATTCCAAAAGTAGCTTATTTTTGGGTAAAATTTCGAAAATGTTGATTTTTATTATTTTTTTAAAATCTGAAAGTAGTTTCTATATATAAAAGTCAAAATTCTATTAAGTAAATTGATAAAAGTCACTTAATAGGGGTTATTCAGAATGTAAAAATACACATATTTTAAAAGTTTAAAGCAAATAAGAGAACTTTTTACTAAGCTGTTTTTACATTTTACGTTTGAATGTAAAATGTAAAAACATCTTAGTAAAAAGTTCTCTGATTTGCTTCACACTTTCAGAATATGTGTATTTTTACGTCCTAAACAACCCCTATTAAATGACTTTTATCGATTTACTTAATAGAATTTTGACTTTTATATATAGAAACTACTTTCAGATTTTAAAAAATTATTAGAAGTAGCTTATTTTCGGAATAAAGATTTTTCTTATGTTTCTTCTCCAAGAAAAGAGGGGTAGCTTATTTTTGGAGGTAGCTTATTTTCGGAAACATACGGTATAAAGTTTTGAATTAGAATTGTGATTTCTACAGTATATTGTGAAATTAAAATAAAGTTACTATAAAATTCTCACAGAAGAAAAATACAAATTTTGTTGGAGAGTCGTGGCCTAATGCAGTGGTTTGTCTAGAGGTCAACGTACTGCCTTGCGGAACTCCTCTACAGGTGATATTTGGCATACAAGCCAAGAGCATTATTATACAAGATAACTGGCAGGAGGTGCCCTTGTATAAAAAATCTTGGTGGAGAAGAGGACT